CGCCAGGGCGCCGCGGGGGCTCCGCCCGGAAGCGGCCGCCGGGGTGCGGGATGGACGCTGCCGGCGCTGTGGCGAATTCGCGCGCTGTTTAATTAGCTAGGGGTCATACTAACGTGGCGTTTCTGTTCTCTTAGCGCAGAGGCCTCTAGTCCGGTATGGAGCATGCCTTTACCCCGTTGGAACCCCTGCTTCCCACCGGTACTGTACTTTTGTCCACGTTTCGGTGTCACTGACGCGCCCCTCCTCGGAGCCCAGAGAGGCTTCTAGACCAGAAATGTTTGCAGTTGGCCTTGGACTCCCGAGTTGTCAGCCTTAGGCATACCCCGCCAGCCTCCCTTCTGCGTCACTTTCCCCACCTGGAAAAAACAAGGCTAAACCTTAGTCCTTGCCACCTGGCGTTGTTAGGACCCAGTGACTTTGGTTTACTAGATCCGCCCCCCTGGGGAAGAGGGCGCGCCGCCTGCAACGTTAGCCCCTAGGCCTCTGACCGCTTGAGCTGGTGTGGAACTAGATTAGGAGACACCGAGGGGGTTGAAGGCAGTCACCTTCTCCAATAAAAGGTTAGAAAGTGGCCATACAAAGCATTTTAAAGCCGTAACACTCACTCGAGGATTTTTATTATGTTAAAGCTCAAAATTACTGTAATTCACAGGGTGCTGGATGGAAAGCAGCGGTTTTGTGAGGCTGCGTCCATGCGCCTGTGTAATTGACTCGTGCACCTTTCTTTTGGTTGAGAGATACTGCGAGTGGGGGAGGGGCAGAGAGGGGGCGAGGGAGACTCCGAAGCGGGCTCCAGGCTGTCCAGCTGCAGAGCCCGACCCGGGCCTCCAGACCACGAAAAGTGAGATCATGACCTGAGCCAAAGCCGAGAATTGGATGCTTAAGCAACTCAGCTGGTTCCTGAGCCACGCACGTGCTCCAATCATTTCTTAACCTTAATATATTTCTTATATATGTATACAAGATACATACATATGTATATATTTATTTCAGTTTCTACTGGTGTAGAGCTTCTCTTTTATCAGTTCATATATTTAAACAGAATGCATACTTTATCTTACTTAATTTTTTTTTTTTTTTTTACCTTTATTTATTTTTGAGGGACAGAGACGGCAGGAGCCGGGAGGGAGTAGGGAGAGAAGGAAACAGAATCGGAAACAGGCTCCAGGTTCTCCAGGTTCAGAGCTGTCCGCATAGAGCCTAACGTGAGCCTGACCCAGGGCTGGAACTCCCAGACCATGAGATCAAGACCTGAGCCGAAGTCCGAGGCTTAACCCACTGAGCCACCCAGGTGCCCCCACAATGCATAATTTAAAGTTTACTATAAACACATGAATAAATGGGCTTTGTTAGGGTACTGAGTTTGATTTGAACTTGTCCAGTTCCACAACCTGGAAGTATTGATGGTAGAACAAAGAATAGAAGCGGGGGACTTTGACTTCTTAACTCTGCATTCCTTCACTAGGCTGAGTTTTTCACATAGACCCTCATAACTTACTTGCAAGAGAAGGAAAGCAGGAGCAGAGCTAGAATCTGAACCCAGATCTGCTTGACCCTTGTTAAAAGGTCGAGCGTTGAATTATTTGTGTAAACAGCTTTTCAAAAGTTTGAGGAAAGCATCGACAGAAAAAAAAAAGGTGTGGGCAAATATTTTGCAAAATCAAGTTCTTAGTACTCAGTAGTAGCCAAACCAACAGCATTTCCTCGAGTCGACACTTGATCCATGTGGCTTGTTGATCAGCTGTGTTGTGAAAACATAAGTGCTTTACTGTGATCAAGGAAATTTTCAACTTTTTATATATTTGGGCCCCGCTCCTGGGCTCCTTGGGAAGCTCCACTTTAACATTTACTGAGGTCAGACTGTGCAGAATCTCAAAGCATGGGCTCTATTTGTGACCCGAGCACAGATTGTACATCTGTTAGGCAAAACCGGAAAGGAGCTTTCTGAACACAAAAGGTAAGAAAAAAGGAAGACCCTCCTCTGGTCCCCATAAAATTAAAGTCCTGCATTTTCTAGAAATTTAAGGTCTGCAACTTTCTGAAACATCCTTTGTGTGGTGGTTTGTAACCTTTTATGTGAAAAATACTGATAACCCTACACCAAATGTTCCTTTGCTGGAGCACTCTCTTCTTTGTGACAGTCCTGTATCCAGGGCAACTGTTTTGAGTTGGCCTTGAATAAAACTCAGTTTTTAGAAATTCGAAAAGATTTGTTCATTTTGTGGCAACAGCTGACTGAAGGTTTCTCGTGTTTTCTAGCTTGAAAGGAATAGTTCGTGGAGATAGTGTAGTAAAGTTTGAGTCAAGGAATCTGAATCTCTTGGTTTAAACCCTAGTTATGCCACTACTTACAGTGTTTAATAACAAAAATTCAACCGAGTGAATTTTCAAGATGTAATTGGCTTTATTAACCAATTCCTGAAATTCTCAGCAGCATCCCAGCTCCAGAGGGCTATGGAAAGGGAAAGGATTTTAAAGGGGGACAAGGAAATCAACAGAAAAAGGATTATTTCGGATGAGGTCACCTTCCTTTGGGAGATGGAGAACTGCCCATGTAAACAGATCACCTCATGGGTGCCCGCTGGATTATTCCTGACTGACCAAAGACTACATTCCTGGGTGAGGTCGAAATTGCAGTTGGGTTGGCCTAGCCTAAGTGACTCTCATTTGAGCCTGTGGTTTTCTTTTTAGCCCCAGTTATCAGACCTTGTATTTCAGGTTTTTCCCAGATAAAATGCAAATACTTCACAGGGTTATTGGGAGTATAAATTAGTTTTAATGCCTATAAAGCACTTAGCATCCATACTGATAAGCTATTGCTATCGAGCAAGTCTAAGGGGAGGACAAGATGGCAGTTGGATCTTAGGGTCAGTGCTGGGATGGGAAAAATTTGGAGCAATAAATTGTAGGAAAAACAAGCAGTTCTGCTCGCTCTGTTTCTCTGAAAGGTAGAGTGGAGAAGGCCTGGACTCCTCAGGTCAGACACCTGTAAGCTCCTTGCTAGAGAAGAGCATGGACAGTGACTGTAATATCTTTATGAAGCACAGATCTGCCCTCACAGAATCCAGTGTTCCCTTGGGAGATTCTCTGTGATCTAGTGGTTCTAGTTTCTTCCTCCACTGAGGGTGGAAGGATGTAGGGATTTCTGCCTTATCTCAGGCAAGTTTACGGTTGACTCTGAATACCTAAGAGATCTTCAAAAACAGAACAGTGAGTGTATTATGAGGAACCAGTGCATTGCCTGGCCTTTTATAGCGATTCAGTAACTATTTAAGTTTCACTTTACATGAGAGGTATTCTCTTCATCAAACAGACATTTAGTACTTCCCTAGTAGAGAAGTAGTTTTTCAGTTGTAACTTCTGTGGGTCTGATTTGTAGACCTGAGTGATCTGTGATGCTTACTCAGATTTAGTACCAGTGGGCAGTCCCACAGCTAAGCTGGGCCTCCTAACTCATTGCCAAGTGGACCGACATGCTGATCTCTCTGGGATCCTAGCTCAGAGAAAGAGATTTTAATTTAAAAAAATTTTTTTTGGTAACTAAAGTAAGTGCTTATTAAAGAACAACCTCTGATATAAATTAGGAAAGTTTCCTGAAATCCCTCTTCTAGAAATAACCACTACTAACTGTTGGCATATGTTCTAAATATTCATTTTGGTACATACACCTCAGCATATTATTACTCTTGTTTTAGGGAAAATGGATTCATGGTATAAATTATATATTACTGTTAAGGGGCAGTGAGTGAAAATATATAGGTAGTTTTCCCTACATACGTAGCATGTCTTCCTTGTTCAACTTTTTTTTTTTTCCCAAACAGAAGTTTCTAAAGTGAAAAAGTCCATCCTACATGCCAGAGATTATCATTCTAAAATTTCATGTTTTTATAGATTATGTGTCTGTGTATATATGTAAGATAGGACCTGTTTTACCTTTTTCCTGCCACTTTTTTTCACTTACTTTCACTTGTTAGGATCTGTGTATGTAGATGTCCTAAGTTTTTTTTTTTATTTCCAGTGTAGTTAACATGTAATTAGTTTCAGGTGTGAAACTAATGATTAAAAAAGAAAAACGATGGTTAGATGCCAAGACGTAGGTGGCAGTGCCTTAAGTGTGTGTGCATATTGTTAAGCCTGAGGGTCTCTTCTGTCCTCGTCGAGGGAAGTGCTGACCTTGTTTCATACAACACCCCAAGTTTTGCTTTTTAATAGGCAGTACAGTCTCCAATGAAGTAGTCTTTCTTAATAGACATTTAGGTTTTTTCTAGTGTTATAATCTGCAATGCATATCTTTGATCATAGTGTTTTTGCATATATATGAATACATCTGTAGGATAAATTTCTAGAAGTGGAATTGTTAGATGAAAGAGTATGTTTGCATTTGTTATCAAGAGGCACCGACCACTAGCTAGTGTATGTTCTTTGTTCTTTGGTAGTAGGTGCTGCGGGGGTACAAAAGGGAAAGGGGTGATCCCTTCTATCCATGAATTTATGGTCTGGTTGGAGAGTTGAGAACAAAACAAGATGGATTCTAGTTAGATGTTGAATTATGTATTACAGGAACCTACATAGGGAAGGTTGGGGCTCGGGGGAAGGAGATGAGGGCAGTTTGGAGTAGGCAGGAAACCTAGGGGTGGAAAGACCTCGGCTGCATCTCTGCAAAAGCACTGGCTTTAATTGAGAGAAGGCTCAGGTAAAAAGAAGAGCAGCGCAGGTGATGTGCCTTCAGTGAAAGCTCCGTGCCTCTTCTGACCTGGTGGTGAGAGAAGGGAAAGAGGTCTGATGAGATTGGAGAGTGCAGGTGGAGACTGGGGTTGAGCAAGGAGGGCAAAACCAGATTGGTGAGGAGAGAGAAATTCAATGCAAGGTAGAAGATAAGAAAGTGTCTGTATCCTCCCCACTTGGAACATTCTGTACAATGCTGTCATCCGTGTCACGGTTCGCTGATCCTATATGGGTTAAAGTCCTTCTCTTGGACTTGAAGACCCTCCAAGTTCTGAATCCTAGTTACTTTTCCAGAATACATTTTTATTTCCCCCCTCTGTGCCCAAGCCAAGTAAACTACCCACTGTTTACTTTTGTGAACATTTGTTCCAGCTTTGATATTCTTGCCTTAGCTCATGCTAAATTTACCCCCTAGAATGTTCTTTTCCAGTCCTTGGAATTAGTCTTAAATTTTATCCATTTGGTGGGTGTGT